ATGCGCTGAAGCTTTGCATCTTTAGATGATGTATCTCCATAAACTATGTCCTGGCATCATATCCCAGAAGCATGTTTTCTTCCTGGGCATGCTATAAGATCTATGGCAAGGATGACTTTTGGTGGCATTCAAAACACTCAGATGTGTTTTGCTGCAGGAAGGAGCCCTGTTATCATGAGCTTTTTATGTAAAACCACTCATACATTGCAGGAAGGGTACATGCCAGATCAGTTAGGGAAACCTGGAGAAAGGCTCAGCTAATCCCCATAGGAAATTAATGGGCCATGTGTTCTGTTTGAAGTGTTAGTGGGTTTTAATCTCATCTCCTTCTTCATTACAGCCAGGAAAAAGAGGAGAACTTGGTCCAAAAGGCGCCCAAGGACCTAATGGGACAGCTGGAGTACCGGGGATCCCAGGACATCCAGGGCCCATGGGCCGTCAGGGAGAGCAAGGCGTCCCCGGCATCACAGGAAAACCTGGGCCTCCAGTACGTATTACCTGCTTCTGGGCACAGTCAGGGAGCCTCCCAAGTGGATAAATCATGGGGTTTGGATGCATATTCAAAGAATAAGGTCCTGTATTTAAGCAGACAAATGTGGGTAACTGCTTGCAAGAGAACAGTCTTGTACTGGGAGTTTAGCAGTGCAAAAGGATTAACACTTTGCAAGCTTCAGAATTAAAGTCTCTGCAGAATTAACCTTGTCTCACAGTCATCCGTGAGCAGATTATCTGTGTCCATTGGCACAGGCTGCAAGTCCCTGTTCTCATTACAAAAGTGAGGTAGAAGCTGGTAATCCAAAATACAGCTTCTGTTCACCACTTCTGTCTTGGTCCAGAGCTCCTGTTTCATCATTGAGGAAAGGTCAAATAAACCCCAGATTAATTTTAACATCAGGCTAGATATTCAATCTATGCCATTAGTATGAATAGAGCTTCTGAATTGAAGCAATCATCTTTCAAAGAGGGAAGAAAAACCCACTCCTCTTCATGCAGGATCCAGTGCTTCCTACTGAGCTGCTAGCAAGGAGTTTTGTGCCCTGAAGCTTCTGTCAGGGATGATTATGGACAACATGGTTTGTAGGAGGTGTCCTCATTCTTCTGTTAATTGCAGGGCAAAGAGGCCAGTGAACAACATATAAGAGAGCTCTGTGGGGAAATGATAAGTGGTGAGTATTACTGAGAGCAAAGGGGCTTTAATTACCACGCTTAGCTGAAGATGGGTAGATCCTGAACAAAAGACGGCTCCTGTGGGTTGCTATTTTTGTGTCTTGGTAAGAAGAAATAAGCTGACCTTTAATGTAAGAGCTTATTCAGAGGTCAGTTGTTGTCTGGCATGAAATTCATTTTTCTAAGATTAGTATTTTTAAGTGGTTCATCACAGCAACAAGCAGCATGTGCTTAGAGCAGCTTTGACACCAGTACCCCACACACATACCACAAGCACTGGCTACGAGGGTTTGCCCTAACCTGTGCTGTTGTGAACTTCAGCACATCCCATCACCTTGGTCAGGCCAAGGAGGGGGCTTCTTCCTCAAAAGTCCTTCATTTAGAGGTTATATTTGATCGCTGGGATGAAGTTAATTCTGAAAGCTTGTTTCAGAAAACTTGTTTGAATCATTGGATATTATTTTCTAGAATACTTGATATTTTTTCAAGTGGTTTAGGAAAAAGGAAATATTGATAGCTTAAAAACCTGCAGGTTTCTCACCAAAATCAAAGCATGTAGGAGTGCAGGGAGCAAGCTCTGCCCAAGTACACAGCTCTGCTTTAATGCCAGGCACTAGGTTTTCAGCTCTCACTCGATTAAGCACACTGGGTGGCAGACAACAGCCAAGCAAAGAGTGAAGATGGTGGATGTGGAGTTTTCAGTTGTTCTGGTTTAATTGCTCTTTTCAGATCAAATTGCACAGTTAGCTGCTAACCTGAGGAAGCCCTTGTCTCCTGGAATGACGGGTCGGCCTGGCCCAGCTGGTCCCCCGGGTCCACCTGGAGTTGTGGGAAGCGTTGGACATCCTGGTCCTCGTGGTCCCCCGGGATACAGAGGGCCAACGGGAGAGCTGGGTGATCCTGGTCCCAGAGGTAAGAAGGACTAAACCAACCTGCTTCTCTTTTATGCCCACATAAATAAAGTGCAAACGTGCACTCATTTCAGCAGTGGAGGAGAGGCAAAGTCAAGCCTTGGGGTTGTAGAGGGCAGTTTTGCCTCTTTAGGGGTGCAGTGTAAGCAAAGATCTCAGCAATGTCCTGAGGATTTTGAGCTTCTCCTGTTCTTTGCTCTTCCTGACCTTGGATCCAGCTGCAATTCACAAGCCATTGTTGAAATCCTCTTGGTTTTGATTAAAGGTGACCCTGGCGAGAAGGGAGACAAGGGTCCTGTTGGCCAAGGTATTGATGGGCCTGATGGTGATCAAGGACTTCAAGGTAAGTCTGTGCAAATGACTTCAATCATGGTTTAAGAGACAGCCCTGCATAGTGTCCGTGGTGCATTACAACCACGTTGTCCCTGTAACTGTTATAGTGGGGTTGTTTTCCTGGAGTTAGAGTCGGTGGGGAGAGTTGGAACAGCAGAACTTCATTAATTCATGTCATGTTTCTGGACATACTTAATTTTACCAGAAGCAAACACACCTTCCCAGTGCAGTGATTCTGAGAGACAGCAGTGCTATTGCTCCGTACCTGGCTCTAATCCCAGCTCCTGAAGTCACAAATCCTTTCTCAAAAGATTCAAAGATTAATTTATGCAAATTAATGAGTCTCTATTAGAAACTTGCAAGAACAGTCTTTATTTTGCTCACCTATTAAAGCAGCTTTCTAATTGTGATTACATCTGTACAATGAATAAGCTACAGGTTCTGCACCCATATGATTTCATAGAAGTGGAATATTTATACCCCCTTGTCTTAGATCCTTCCATAAAATTGTTGCATTAATCCATAAATGTTTTCTTTTCCAAAGCGTGTAGAAAGAGGCTGTTTCACATATTAGATACTGAGAGCATTTGTTCTACTCAGGAAATGTAAGATCAACAGGAGATGCAGCTCATCACTTCCATGGCTAAAAAGAATCAGGCACCATCTCTCTACCATAATTGAGACAGAAAATCAGGTTTATAGCTGATAGAAGTGTCCCTCAGGGAGACAGAATCCTATTTTAGGAAGCCTCAGTAGCCTGCTGTTAGGGCAGTTTGTGGTTTGTGAATCATTTTTGGCATCTGAAGGAAAAAAAAGCAACAGCTTGAGTCACCCGAAGCAGAAACTGGTTTTGTCAATAAACAAGCCATGTATTTCATTGCGAGCGCAGTTTTGAAAGCAGACGCAGGTAGAAAGGAAACTCCTGATCTGTAATGGCAGGGAGATGTTCTCTATCATCATTCTCTCCACTCTCCTTTCCTCACTCAGAATTTGAGTTACAACTAGACTAAAGGAGGTGCAATGAACTAAAACAAGTGAAGGCCACGGCCTCCCACTAAGGAGGAAGCTGGTGGTTGGGAAGGAGGGACAGTTGTGAGCGCTCCTGTTGTCACAATAGTAAGGACATCCCTTGAGCAAACTATTCAGGGATGGTGTAAAATAATCCTGGTTAGTAATTACTTGGTACTACTATGACTGAGGCAGTACTGAGGTGGAATCCAGTTCCACACTGGTCAGCAAAAGGCAAATCGAACACACTCAATACTAAACATCCACCATCAACCCAAAGGCAGTCTAAAAAATCCAATGCATATACTCCAGAGTCAGGCTAAATTTATTCAACACCTTGTACTCAACAAGTCGCATGTACAGACACTTCAAAGGATTATAAGAATTCTTAAAGTAACACATATATTTACACATACATTAAAGAAAAGGGGAAAAAAAAAGGAAATAAGGCAATAATTCATGTAACCTCTTTCCCTTTCTTTTTTAGGACCACCTGGTGTACCTGGAGTCACTAAAAATGGTCGTGATGGTGCTCAGGGTGAACCTGGTCTTCCAGGGGATCCTGGTACTCCTGGTGCTATTGGGGCTCAGGGAACTCCAGGAATATGTGACACATCGGCTTGCATGGGAGCTGTCGGAGTATCAACTTCCAAAAAATCATAAAATAACAGTACAAGAAGTGGAGAAGTGACTGACTATTTAAATAAACAGTGCATTGTAAGAAAACAGACAGAATCCTCCTAGTGCTAAAGGGACAGATGTGCCTTCTATTGTATTGAGTGGAGACTTTGACACAGTTCTATGAGAAAGAAAGCATCAGATGAAAACTTTTCATTCAAAGATGCTTTATGAGTATTTTCTCTCCCCCCCCCCCATTACTGTCCAGAATTTTTACTGTTTAACAACCTCACCTTCTCTTTTTCCCTTTGTTCAAGAGACCTGTGAGAGGAAGCAGTGTTCCTTCTTACTGTGTGCTAAAGATCACGACCTCTCTGTATCACTCTTTGAGCCTTGTCACTTGAATCCCTTGGTGCTGCTCCCACTGACTTTGGTTATTGCAGGTTTGTGCACTAAGACAGATGCTATTAAGGTGTTCAGGCACCAAATTGCTCCTTCCATCAGTGGAAATTAGGCATTTAAGTATCTTGTATTTCAATATCTTAAGATTCTAGCCCAAGTAAAGCCCTTAGCTTAGGTCTGTGCTGTCAGTTATCAATTTTCAGATTGCACCTCAACTATTTGCCAAGACCAGTAACTAGTAATCCTCTTGCAGTCAAATTCTGCCAAAGTGAAATGTATATATTTTAATTTACAGGGAAGAATTTCTGTATATTTCCATACGATAATAAAGGAAATGAAGTAACAGCATTTTCATGACCTCTACTTCAGCTATTTGCACAGTAATTGTGAATGAACCCCCCAATAAGAAAGGATGCTCATCTCAAGTCCAGCCAAAAAGCCCTGTATGAACTGTTGTAAAAATAAAAGGAGTTGTTTTTTTAACCTTTGTGATGTTGTAAGTGTCGTTATACGCAAACTAATGCAGCTGAATTCTGCTTCCCAGAACTGGTTTTACTAGGGTTGTTTGGGAATAAACTGGTGCAAAATTGTCCATGTCCGTGATTTAAAACAGTATTTCTTTCAGGAGACCATTTTTGTCCTTTAAAACCTACTATAATATCATCTATTTTAAAAAATCAGTAAAACCATTCTCAGCTCCCACTATTCTGTTTCTGCCCTATATGCTAAAGCCTATGAGCAAAGGAGTCATATTTAGCTTTACATATGAAAATAGCTTGTGCTTTTAAATAATCTGCTGTTTATAATATGCCACTCTTGGACTAAAGTAACAACACAAGAACTTCTTGGACAGCTGTGGGATAGACATTAAAAATAGCACTGTATCTACAGAAGAATGCTAACACCATTGTATTACTCTTTGGGCCCAAGCACGTTAAAATGTGTATGGCAAATGTACACTTCATTATAGCAGCACAGTTTAGGAACCATGCATTTATGCCATTAAACAATCTGATTTCTTTAATGGAAAAATAATGGGCATTCTAATATAGTAACTTCAATTTCTTTTTACACTTGAAGAGTACGTTTGCATCTAGTCATTAAAATAACAGGACAGATGAATGTTCTATAGCTATACCTAACTCTACTGGCTCATCTCTTACATAAAACAAATAAACTAAAAACCCCAAAATGCCCCAAAGTAGAATGACAAACAGAAAAAGAACATATTTTTTATAACTAAAGGGGAAAAATACGTAGCTGTCATGACTTTTTCTTGTAGGTCCCAAAGCCCCTTTAACAGAGCACTGATTTCTGTTGCTAGCACTTCACTGTCATTTCCATTTTGAATAAAGATTGTTTTCTGTAAAGCTCTATTTATATATTTTACAAGTTACATTTTGTAATTCACATTCAGCATGTAAATGGGGAAAATAAAACAACGTGGGCCATTGTTAGCCATACAACTCAAGGTGGTCAGAGGTCAGGCTACTTGGTCTTCATAGCCATATGTATTTTCCTGCGCAGGACACGTTACAAATGCGTCTGACCTTGGGATTTTCAGTCTCCTGCCTGTTTTACCACAGAACATAGTCTCAAATTCCTACAAATGAAAATATAAGAAATAGCAATTATGCTTAATGTAGATATTTTCTTCAGATGTGTAGTTTTTGTTTCACTAGTGTCTTTGGGGGAAAAAAGACCCTTTAGCAGGAAGTGCTGAGGGGCCATCCCGCTATTTAGACAAGCAGGTTTTCCTATACAGACTCCACCAACTCCCTTAAGATACTGAATAGAGTGAAAATTGCAGCTACTGGTGTGGTTATATGGGAGCTGCTCATACAACACATAGTCCTTTAATATTCTCACCCACTTTGAGGTGGGAATTCATAGAAAATTAAGGGGGTTAGAATGAAGGAAGGGAGCCTCAGTTCTACATTGTTGTCCAGATAATATCATGCTCAGGGCTTAATATCTGACTTGAAAACCCTTGCCTGAGGACATCCTATGACTTTACACTGCTGAACCAAACCAGCTTAAAAAAGAAAATAAAAATAAAGGAAGGCTCAAGGATACAGCAGTCCTTCTAAAACAGCATCACACAGAAGCATTCCACATACTTCAAGCTGTGTTGTGACATCTTTAAGCCATTTCATGTTTTTATCAAGAACAAGAATGAAGTTAGAGGTCAAACCTGTTTCAGAGAATCCCCGTGCCGTTCCTGAATGTACTTCAGAAACGCAGTTGTCCACTGTAAAGTTGTTGCCTTATCGGTATCAACAGTACAGAATGGAACCAGAAGATTCAGCTCGTCACAGCAAACCCGGATCCTGCGCCTGCAGGCAAATACAAAAGGTTAGCAACCATGGGAGAGAGGAAGGGAAAAATAGAAGGAGGACACTACTTACATGCACTACAAGCTGTGGGCTTTGGGGACTTCCTTTTGTTTGCTACAAGCTTTGCCTTTGTGTATCAGTCATGTTTACACAAGTTACTTTGTCTTTATAGGACTGGATAAGTGTTTGGAAAGCTCTCTTTTTGTTTGTTTATAGAGTAAAAACCAACAATCACAACAACATACATCATTCTTGCCTGCAACAAACACCCAGTCCCCACCACTTGCACCACTTGTCCTTGTAGGTAAAGCAGGACGTGTCCAATATACATTTGACTCTGGAGAATGGCAGGAAAATTGCAGTATCAGCTTCAAAACCTTTGTTCTACCACTCCTCACAGAAATTACCTCCTGTCTCTCTCCATGCGGTTATGCCTTTCTCTTCGCTGAGCCATTCCATCCTGAATACCACTTTGCATCTGCAGGCTTGAACTGGACTGTGCTGCCTGCCAGGGGCCCTGGGCACTCTGGCTACCATCACATGTGTTCTGAATTTCACTGAGAGGTTTGCGATCTATGTCTGGATCCAATGGGCTTATTTTGCTGCAACTTCTTCTGTTTAGCGCTTGCTTGCACAAGCTCTCTTCTTGGAAAAAACAAAGAGGAAAAGAAGAACCTATTTATGACCCTCCCATTGATCATGGGATTTTTTCTTTGTTGCTTTATTTATGTGGAATAATCGTTGAAGTTTTATTGCCAACCAAGATAGGCTCACAGCTTCCTTCAGAAGCCCTAAAGCACCACTTGCTGTTTCAAAATCCACCTAGCTTCTGTTTTCTGAGCAAACCCACTGAGCTCATGCCTGCCTTTGATGAGCACTTGAAGTAGTCCTTTACATGCTCCTCAGTTTGATACTGACTGGACCTGCTGTATCAACTTTGGGGGACAAAAAAGTGTAGAAAGAAACCAGTTGCTTACTCGAGGCCCAGATTTTCAAAGGCACTTTGCAACCTCCTGGTTTTCTCATTTCCAGGTAGGAGTCCTAAATGATTTTGAAAGTAGAGCTAAACTCACAAGTACCTGGAGAAATCCAGTCCCATATTACCTATAGCATATCTCAGACATACCCCCCCCCCCCAATATGATTCACTAAAATCGTATTCATTCTAGAAAACACACAAATTCAGAACAATAGATCTGAAAGCCAAAAGAAAGCAAAGTGAAAAGAAGTGGTTTACCTCCAACTTTAATCCAAACTTCTTCAGGCAAAGCTTTATTCATAGCCCCTGCTGCCTGTTTCATGGAGTCAATTTCCTGATAGCAGAAAGAGTATGCCTTGGATATCCCAAGGTCTTGATGTTTGGCAGCTTCCAAAATAGCACAAGATGCACTAGAGGTCTGTGAAAACCAAAAAGGGAATACTTAGAGGACTATATACATAAAAAAGGGACTGTTTTGGTATCTTCATGTTAACTTTTTAAGTTTTAGACCTGTGATTCAATTGTGATTCAGTTTATTTTATCAGAATAAATCCCCACTACTTCTGCTCACAACCCTGGGATTTTGACAGACACAAGATTTATTTGGGGATACCTCTGACCCTTCTCAGTGCCACACTATCACTCTTGATTTTGGAGGGGGGAATCTATCTTCCATCAGAACTGATTAGAAAGAAAGGTACCACGGAAAACGGTATCAAGTGTCTCCTTGTCTTGCACAGATGAAGCTGATGATGCACTGATGAACTCAAGAATACAACCTTTCTAGTAATAAATCTAACAGCCTACTGATCATTACCTAGATGCAGGTTGTTACAAATGCCACACCATTGATTTGAGCAAGGTTTTTTGGATGGCCTTAAAGATTAATGTAAGAATTAATAAATTACAGCTCATTCTGACCATCCTTATTCAAACCAAGTCACACTTCAACATAAACCTCTAGAATTATATTGCACCTAAGAGGTTAACACTATTAGCTTTTGAAATCAGCAGAGCACAACTAGAGGTGACTACGTTACCTACCTGTGCCTGTGAAGGGTTGGCACCTCCAGCAGCAGAACATGCATTCATAGTCAATACTGGGTATGGGAACTGTGAGGAAGGAGAGGCAGGGGATATCTTATTTTTCCCTAGTGCCGCACACTTGTTTTCTTGCTGATAGAGAGGAGCACCGATCAGTTCCGAGGGCTGTCGAATCAATGTTACTAAACTTAAAAAGAAACACACACACAAAGAAACGACACAGGAAACATACCATACTGACTACCTGAAAATGAGCGCAGAAAGAGGTACAGCTACATGCACTTCTAGTCACTCCCACCAAGAAATTACTTCCATTTACTGTAAAGAGAAATCATTCTTATTGCCATACTGCCTGCTTCAGGGACAATGAGCTGAGAAGGTATTTCATTCTGTGCAGTAACACAGGCTTGATGCCTCAATGAGATGTTTCATCAGCACACTAACACAGTTACAGGGCCAGGGGTGAAACAGTATCTTTGCTCAAGGTGTTCCCCACAGTGGCCACTATGTTGTAACACTAATCAACAGCCCTTAACATTTTATTATGATAAAATAATCTCCTTTGCTTTTAGCAAGCTGATGTTAAATGATCTTCTCTCACCTCTATTTATATTGCATGTTGTTATCAAGAATAAAGTTGTAAACTACTTCAGTTTGGAACTACATGCTGCACCATTCATGCAATGTACAGAGGGCCCTAATCTGAGTCAGCGGAGTTGCAGCCACCTTTTAGAAAGCCCAACTCATCATTCTCACGTATTAAATCGAAGTACAGCTCTTAAGCTTCATTTAGAAAACCAGCTTTGAACTCTACGATGGTACACAGTCTAACAACATAAACTAAAAGTAATTGCAACACACTTGTTAAGGGTTACTCCAGATTCTTGGGGTTCTTGACATCTGGGGTTCTCTGTCTGGATGCTGTTGAATCTGTCTTCCAACCGAACTCTGACTGCAGGTTTAGATTTAGGCTCGGGTGCCGAATTTTCAACAAGTATGTTTCCTTTATTGCTCCCGAAACCATTCTCACCGTGTTTAACTTTTACTAAGCTCTGTCCCGGGACTGCTACCGAGCTACTGTGAGGCATTTTATCTGCATGGCTCAAAGGGAGGTTAGACTCGCTAAGTAGCATCATTCTGAGCTCCGGCAGGTCACCATAGCCCAGCCGTGGGTTTGAGCTGCTGTCAGCGGGTAACCCTGACCGGCAGCTAACCCGGTACCCTGGGTTCCCAGTGCTGCTTGCTAAACCCCCTTCCTGCCTGCTGCGCGGTGAGGGCTGCAGAGGGGGGGCTGCAGGGTTACCAGGCGAGGAGGAGGAGAAAGCTCTGAGCCTGGCTTGCGCTTCACCTTCGCTGGCTTGCGCCTCGGCGTGTGGGTAAAGCATGTGCTGCAGCTGGGTGTACTCGGTTTCCATCATCTCCACCAGGCTGACGTCTGGCGCGGTGAAGCTAAGGTTTTGCTCACCAAAGGAAACGTCCCTTGAGCCTCCAAGTCCGACAGCAACCGGAGCGGGATCGGCAACACTGGGTGTGCTCTGAGGGATGGAGGTCTGAGGCTCCTCCGGGGCCGATCCTGACATGACTACAGTGAACCTAACCGGTTACCAACGCTCTCTTTCAACGGTAAACCAGCAAACCCTGACAGAATTAGCAGTGCTACCCATTTAAAAAGGAAAACAGAAGGGAAAGAAGAGGAAAAAAACCCCACGCGCTTCCAACACCGCCGGCTCACAACCACCACAGGCGGCCTCACCGCCCTCCCTCCCGCTCAACAGACACGGATCTGCCCTGCCGCAGGAAGCGGGGGCTCCAGGTACCTACGACTCCCTCACAGCAGCGCCCACGGGCCTGAGGGGCCCCGGCGGCAGCGGTGTCCCCGCAGCGCAGGGACGCGGCGGGCCCGGTGTGGGGAGCGGGAGCCGCCGCCCCTCAAGCCCGCCCCAACGCCTCCCCCCCTCCGCGCGCCGCCGCCGCCAACAGCCGCCCTCGTGACCGCCTGCGCCCCGCCCCGCTTTGCCCCGCCCCATAGGCGGTGGTTGAAGCACCCGGTGGGCGGAGCCGTGGATCCATCGCGTTATCGATCGCGATATCGATCCCGATATCGATCGCGATAGTGGGTGGGGATCCGGCCCTGAGGGGCTGGGGCTTTGTCCAAGTCGGGCCGGGAAACTGACAAGAGCAGGGAGACACCCGGTGACCTGAATGCGGCTGCATAGCAATGACAATCACAGCCTGGCTTGGGTTGGAAGGGACCTTAAAGCTCATCCAGCTCCAACCCCTTCCACTGGAGCAGCTTGCTCCAAGCTCCTGTGTCCAACCTGGCCTTGAACACTGCCAGGGATGGGGCAGCCACAGCTTCTCTGGGCACCCTGTGCCAGCGCCTCAGCACCCTCCCAGGGAAGAGCTTCTGCCTAAGAGCTCATCTCAGTCTCCCCTCTGGCAGGTTAAAGCCATTCCCCTTGGCCTGTCCCTACAGGCCCTTGTCCCAAGCCCCTCTCCAGCTTTCCTGCAGCCCCTTTAGGCACTGGAGCTGCTCTAAGCTCTCCCCAAAGAGCACAGGAACCTGGCTGCAAAATCCAGGTCCAGGTCAGTATAAACTCTAAAGCTGTGCTTTAATAAAGCTGTGCTTTAATAAAGTCGTTAATGCCTGACTCCATGCTGTTGATTTTTTGGCCATTAAATGCCAGGATGCATTTACTGTTCTGAAGTCAGAAGAGATTCCCCAAACCGATCTATGATGCAGGAGTGTTAGATGAAAAGCTATACATCTATTTCATATAAAGTCAAGGATTCATACATGTTGTGAATGAGCTTTTCTTAAGCTCAAAGCTGACCTGAATATAATTTTTCTTTAGCCATTTTTTTTTTGCTGTTAAACCTACAAATCACAAACTTCCTAATTCAAACAAACAAAAAACCCTTCAGAATAAACCAGAGCATGTTTTAGAACTCAAACTCAGAAGCACAGATTTTCATAGGCTTTTTAGACCGCCTACAACCAAGCCTCACTTGGTAGCAATGCATCTTCTATTCATTAAACAATGAGGAAAGGAACCCTTGTGGCATCAGACTCCTGTGGTTCACTGAGAAGCAGCAACATTTAGACAGTAACATTCACATAGAGATTTAAGAAGGGGACAACAGTTCTCTGTAGAGGTTTATTCTACTTTACAGTAACAAAAACCTGCCAAGTCCCGTATTTTCATGTACAGTGATATAATTTGCCATATAAAATACAATTTACAGAGATTTCTATCAAGTAAACCTAAACAAGCACACTCCTTGCATACGTTTATGGGTGTCTTTAAATTAGAAACATCTCATTAAGAAAAGAAATCTTACACCATAGGAAATGGTTGCATTTCATACCAGCTCTGCATTGTAATGCTGTGCCTACAGGTTCAGGATACAGATGATCATTTCCACCGGCAAATCCTCCACGTAGCAGGGCTTCAAAGATGCACTGATGTGAACTGTGCCACACGGCTTACACGCTACTCGCAGTCTCCAAGATGTAAATTTTTCTGAGGAATCTTGTTTTATATCTCCAAAACTATCTTATAAAAATATCAAAATATTTACCCAACTGTCCATTTACACGGTCAAATAAATTAGAGGGGGTTATTTCACACTTCAGAATGAGGACCACATGAAAAGGAGCCGTGCGATGGATTTCACAGCGAAAAGTCCCGCTTGAATCCCACCAAGAAGTCCAGCTGCTCTTCTTTCCAAGCTCAATGCAGTTGTACCTTTTTCAGTGGACAGGTTTATAGACACCACCAGGCTAAGCAGGCTCCAACAGAAAAAAAAGCCCCAGGGAATTTCTTAAGTGTATGGGAAAGTTCTGGAAAATCGAAGCAAACCACAGAAACGCTCCACTAAATCAGTTCAATCAAAGGAACAGATTCAGCTGCCTATTTAACCAACTACTCCCCTTTGGTAAGCCAATTCATTTGAGTCTTAGCCTTGTTCAGAGAACTGAGGCTTTCTTAAGTTTTGCTGCTTGTAAAGGTGCCATGTTTTATGTTCTTTAATCACAGATCTGTAAAAATGTGACAATGAAAACCCCTCACCCTCATGAAAAACCCCCAAGGACGACTGGTTTCTTTGCTGTACACTTAACAGATGGATTCCAAACCACAAAATACCTGTATATAAAAAGGAAGACAGTGCACTTTAAGCTCATAACACTCCATTTTCAAATCCTCATCAGCCACAAGTAGTTATTAACACTGCTCTTCTGCAGCCTTTGCCTAAATAGACATGACCCTTCTGTTGTCAAATAAGCAAGACAGCAACATTGGACTCCTTTTTATTAAAGCATGTGCTGTAGGATCACCTTTTGACACCAAAATATCACGTAAATGAGATGTAAAAGTATGGCTCCTAAGGTCTGGATTAAATTCTCTTATAAAATTACAATTCAAGTTACTGGAAAACATAACTTTATAATCTTAAAAAGCAATATGCTCTTCTTAGACTTTTTCCATTTCTGTACTGTAAATGGAAACTTTAAGATAAAGATGCAAGTAGAAAAACCAAAATCTCAGTACAGGTAACGCTGTGAATTCGGATAAGAAAAACATTATGCACAAAATGCAGCAAGTGACAGTCCGGTGTGTTCTTGCCTTTTACCCATTCGAGTAGTTGCATTCACAGTTGTTCCAAAATTGCTTATTATTTGTCAGGACATCGTGTAAGGCTAGTTTTACAAAGGGATTCCTGTAAAGGTGAGAATATACAGTATATACAAGATGTTGCTTCAGTCCTTGCTGTGTTCTAAAAGTTTATTAATTACGGGAAATATCAGTCTTAGTTCTATGCTTGATTAGTGGAAGATGAAGCTTCTGTTTCTGATGGTTTCTGAGTTTCCTTCGGTGTTTCAGGCTTCACCTCTTTACCGGTTTCCCTACTTTTGCTCCGATCTTTGCGATCTTTTCCTCTGTCTCTGTCACGATCTCGATCTCTCTCTCGATCTCTGTCTTTTTCCCTGCTCCGATCCCGGTCCCGGTCTTTGTCTCTGTCGCGATCTCTGTCTCTGCTTCTCGATCGATCTCTGTCACGTCTTCTGTAGGAGTCTCTCTCTCTGGTTCTGGTTCTGTCTCGGTCTCTGCTTCTTTCCCAGTCCTTACCTCGGTCCGAATCCTTCTCTCTATCTTTGTTTGGGTTTCTGTCTCTATTTTTGTCCCAGTCCTTGTCTCTGTGTCTCTCCCAGTCCCGGTCTCTATTCCAGTTTCTGCCACGGTCTCTTTCCCAAGGTCTGCTGTGTTCTCGATCCCTTCGTCTTTCCTCAAAGGGTCTGCCTTGTCTATTATCTGCTTGCTGAGACTCTGGCTGATCCAAGCCCTTGTCTTTATTTCCTCCCTCATATCTGTCTCTCTGTCTCCCTTCAAATGCCTGGCCTCTGAACTCAGGATTTTTGCCTTCTCGGAAGTCAGATGCTGACCACTGTCCCTCCGAGTCAGGTCCTTGTCCAGGAATACTGGAACCAGATGCAGATGGTCCAGCTTCATCCCACATCTCTTTTCTGTGGGACGGGTGGCTTGGAAGGTCCAGGAGTGGTCTTGGGCTTGGCTTCATGCCTTGTGACTGACCTTGGAAATGAAACCTAGAAGAGGGAGGTTCATTTTCTTCTGGAAACATTGCAGGTGTGGATCCTCTTGGTCCTCCAAACTGAACTGGTGCTGGACCTCTCTGGTTGGCAAATCTGGGTGGTGAATTCCCTCTCCGCTCTTCAAACGGCTGTGGCAAAAGTCCTCTTGGACCAGGCACATGATTTGGAGCTGGTCCTCTCTGCCCTTCAAATTGATTTGGGTGAGGCCCTCTTGGTCCCCCAAAATGACTTGGGGCTGGGCCTCTTGGCCCTCCAAACTGAGGGCCTCCTCTCTGTCCTTTAAACTGAGCTGGTGGGGGTCGTCTCTGACCTCCAAAAGGGAAAGGCGAAGGTCCTCTGTTTCCCATAAACTGAGGTTGATCCGGTCCTTCAAACTGCCCTGGAGGCCTAATCATTTCATTATACTGGGAATCTGAGTATTCCCTTTGTTCCATGTGAGGTTCCCTGGGATCTTCAAACTGAGATGGTGACATTCCTCTTGGAACACCGTGATAAGGAGGGGCAGGGCCCCTGTTATCACCAAAAAGAGAGGATGGTCCATGCTGTGCAGAAAATAAGGAAGGAATGGGACCCTTTTGACCTCCAAATCTTCCGGATGGAGGCCCCCTTTGCCCATCATTGTTTGGAAAACCATGCTCTTCAGGGAACTGTGGGGCCGGCCCTCTAAAATTAGGTCCATGAGGTCCTCCAGGTTGCATGAGTGGTTGTGGAGGTCCTCCTTTCTGCCCCGACAAAGCAAACTGAGGTCCAGCTCGGTTTTCTTCAAAGTGCTGTTGAGAAGGTCCACCCTCACCCTGAATTGATGGAGATTCAGTTTGTTCGACAAATTGATGAGACTGATTTCTTTGCTCATCATATTGCATTGCTGAAAGACCCCTCTCTGGTTCAAAGTGACCAGCTGCCTGTTCCTGAGAAGTGAACATTGGATTTGAGAAAGAATCTCTTCCCATCATTTCCTTTGACTCATCTGGCCATGACACTTTATGCATATCATGCAAACACTGACTGTCAGTTGATGTGGGGAAATTAGGCTGGAAAGATGTACTT